CCGCCGGCGATGACAGGGAAGATGCCGTACAATACGAGCTGCAAGAGCACGGCGGTTAGGCGCGGAGAAGGGAATCGGAGTGACGTATGTATGTATGTATGCATGTAGCCCGGGCAGGGGAGGGCTCCTGATACACCTAGCAAGCCAAAAAAAGGAAAACTTCCAAGAAGGGAAGGCGTAGAGAGCTCGAAACCACAAGACGTCTTGCAGCCCACCTCACGACTTTTCAACTGACCTCCTCTACCTCTCCCTTCCTGGGCTGGTCCAGGGGAGAAGTAGCCACCCAAAGAAACGGGATCACGCACCAGAAGCCCGATCAACACTGCAGGGGCCCGGATAGACCGGCGAGACCACAAACGGGATAACACGTTGCCACCCAGCTCTCCTAGACCCTCCAGAATACCGCAGGGGGAGGAAGGTAGCCCGCGCGGCGCCTCCCCCTTACCGTCACTAAACCGGAACGGTTGGTCCTCCAGAACCTTCTCACCCTGCCTCGTACTACACAGCTGCCACCCTCGTCCCTTGCCAAGCAACCCAGTCCCGCAGAGAAGACGTGCCTAAGTAGAATGTATGTATGTCGTTACAGGGTGGTTAAGCTTCACCAGCGGCCCCCTTTCCCTTGGAGGCAGTTCCCTGCTCTCCCCTGCGAGAGGGGCACCCTAATCCGTTCACACCATCCGACTTCAGAATGTATTCGTTGGGTTCAGCAACTCACCACCAGCATCCAACCAAGAATGTATGTAAGTATGCAAGTAAGTAAGTATGGATGGATGGATGGATGGATGGATGGATGGATGGATGGATGGATGGATGGAATTATCGCCATCATAAGCTGTGTGTGTCTGTAGGCTGTGTGGGTAAAGTTATCAGTGCATCAGTGTCTGAAGGTGTGCACCGCAGCGTTCCCAAGCACAACACCATTCTCCGTACGGCCGTACAGGTCGTACTCGTCGTACTTACCTTGGTATAGCGGCGCAGGTGACTTTCTTCATGGCTTTTCCCGGCGGCCAGCAGGCAGTACAGGGTGGTGGTGTAGAGGATGCCCAGCCACAACCCGAACCACACCGCGTTGACGCAGGTCCGGTAGAAGGGCATCTGGGCGGGTGAGGTGGGGGGCTTTGAGGTTGGGGCCTTATGAGTGTCGTTAGCAACCCAATACCCACTTCATGTGTTCTTCCCACCCCACCCCACCCCACCCCACCCCACCCCACCCCACCCCAC